CTGGCAGAACATGCAGTGCCGCTGAGAGGAAGCCGCTGGCTATCCATCACACCTTGAAAGATGAACAGGGCGGGCCTACGTTTCCCTTCAAAGGCAGGAAAGCTTAGCGCTCTGGGAAAATGGAGCCCAATGGGAGTTTCTAACCCACGGTGCTGCCCTTCCGGCTCGTAGGTCATTATTAACTATTCTCACCTTAAATGGCCATGACATATAATCTCTTTCCTAATTTCATTATTTTACTTGGTATCACAAGACCATAACTTTTAGACATTCAGGTGAGATTAAGGGAGGAGGAGGTGGAAGCAGGCTTTTAAAATCTTTGATTACCTCAGAAAACATATTTGCTTACTTTACCAGGAAGCTGGTGTTTTCTTTTGTTTTGTTTTCTACTGATGCCAAGAGGGGATTAATGAGTAGCCGCTGGGTTTGCCAGCTTTCTTTTGATTTCAGTTTATGTAATTAGGCAGTTCCCAGAATGACTTGAGGTTCTCACTCTGTGTCAAAACACGCTTCTCAGATGTGTTAGGTGTGGAGGTCAGAAACAGCCAAATCACCGAATGGAGGGAAGGGAAGTGAAAAACTTACCTTGCATTAAAAAAATTCCTGACGATATAGAAAGGGCTAATTATGTTTCGTGGCATGCAGCTTAAAACTAAATTTTAAAATGGGCTCAAGTTAGCCTTGGCCAGTGTGGCTCAGTTGGTTGGAGAATTGTCCCGTACACCAAAAGGACACAGGTTTTATTCCCAGTTAGGACACATATCCAGTTTGTGGGTTCATTCCGCATTGAAGGAATGTGCAGGAGACAACCAATCAATGTTTCACTCTCACATGGATCTCTCTCTCTCTCTCTCTCTCTCTCTCTCTCTCTCTCCTTCCCTCCCTCCCTCTCCTTCCCTCCCTCCCTCCTCCCTTGCCCTATTCCTTCCTCTCTAATTTAAAATTTTTTAAATGGGCTCAAGTTAAAATAGCTCAAAACGAGGTTACAAAGAGAAGTAACACAGGGAAATCAACTCTGGTTTACTGTTGAATTTCCAGCATCTAGAGCAAACATGTCAAACTCGCGGCCTGCAGGCCACATGCCTTATTTACTTGGCCCATGTTAGCCTTGGAGTTTGACATGCTTGATCTAGAGCAGGGATCCTCAAACTTTTTAAACAGGGGGCCAGTTCACTGTCCCTCAGACCGTTGGAGGGCCGGACTATAGTTTAAAAAAAAACTATGAACAAATTCCTATGCACAGTGCACATATCTTATTTTGAAGTAAAAAAACGAAGGAGCTGAGCAACTCACGGGAAGTGAGGAAATCTGCCCACAAAACAAAAGTGCTGTTCAGAGCTGTAATTGAGTCATGGGTGCTGAAGACAGACCCCATGGGGGTGAAAAGTCCAAGTGGGCACCATCTCCGTCTCTGGATTCTGCAGGCAGGAGGCTCACTGCAGTGGCTGGCTTGGCTTTAACTTCATAAGCAGTGAGAACTTGCAGATACAAATATCGGAACACCCTTTGGTTCATGCTCTCTCTTAACAGTTAGCTCTCTAACTTTATTTATTCTTCTACCCACACAATGCTTGTTTTTAAAGGAAATTATGGCCGTTTTTCTTTTGGGTTAGGCTAATTCCCTTAAAAAAAAAAAGAAAAAAAGAATAACCCACAGTTCCTGCCTTCATTAAGAATACAGAGTACCAGGGGAGAAATACATAAATCAGTTAAACAAATAAAACTTCCACTGTGCTGAATGCTGCAATAAGAACATAGCGCACGCCCTAACCGGTTTGGCTCAGTGGATAGAGCATCGGCCTGCGGACTGAAAGGTCCCAGGTTCGATTCTGGTCAAGGGCATGTACCTTGGTTGCGGGCACATCCCCAGTAGGGGGTGTGCAGGAGGCAGCGGATCGATGTTTCTCTCTCATCGATGTTTCTAACTCTCTATTCCTCTCCCTTCCTCTCTGTAAAAAAATCAATAAAATATATTTAAAAAAAAAAAAAAAAGAACATAGCGCACATTAGGGGGAGAAATCAGGGACAGCTTCCTAGAAGGGAAGATGACTGCACTTAAATCTGGAGGATGAGGAGAGATTGACCAGGTGAAGAAAGAGGGGGAAGCATTCCAAGCAGAGGGAACAGTATGAGCAAAGACCCTGTGGCAGGAGGGAGTTTGCTACTGGGGCAGAGGGAACAAGAGACAGCTGGAAGTGATATGACTCAGGAGGTAGGTAGGATCAGACCATATGGGATGCATAGCATTTAGGAGCTTTCTATTCATCCCAACATAATTCTTTAAAATAATTAATCAGAAGAACAAGAGGAAGAAGGGTGAAGGTTTACAATCAGCATTTCATGTCAGCAGGATACTCTGTCTGTAGTGTGATCAGCATTTGCTGCGGCGGGGGGCTGGAGTCAATGCAGAGAGCATTAGTAAAAAGGCACTTGCAAAAATCTAGACAAGGGATGATAGTTACTTGGGCCATAATGGTGGCCATGAGGGTGATGGAGATGGGCAGAAGTAGACAAATAGGACAAGTTCAAAACAATAAGTACAAAGATACAATAGGTAAATGCAACAGGACTTGGTGATGGATGGATGGATGTGAGAGATGAGGGAGAGGGAGGTATTAAGAATGAATTTCTGGTTTCTGACTTTTACAACTGGCTGAGTGGTGAAGCCCTACCCTGAGACAGGCACCCTGGATGAGGACCATTTTGCTGGAGGAAGATTATGAAGTCGCTTTGGAAAGTGTTGGGTTTGAGTGCCTTTGGGGCACCTAGAGGGAGTAGCAGAAATGCAGTTGGTTAAATGGGTCTGCAGCTTGGAGGAGAGGTCTAGGATGGAGGCAGACCTTTGTGAGTTCTCTCAAAGTCAAGGTGCATTGGACACTGTGGGTGTGGATGACATCACATAGTGAGTAGAGAGTGAGCAAAGGGGAGGGTCTAGAACCCAGTCCTGTGGGAATCCATTACCTAATGCTGGGAGAGGAGAAGCCTAAGAGGAAGCGGAAAAAAACTGCCAGAAATACAGGGGGAAACAGCCTGAAAGCCAAGGGGACAAGTGTTTGTTGGAAGAGACAGTGATCAGGGAGAAACGCTGGTGAAAGGACAGGGAAAATCAAGACTTGATAATGCTAATAATAACAGCTGTAATACCTTCAGAAACAACAGCACTCGACAATCTTCGTGAAGCACCAATTATGAGCCAGGCATTTTAACCTATAATTTAATCCTCATAAGAAGTCTGTAAGGCAGGTACTTATTATCCTCCTCATTTTTACAGAGGAGAACACTGAGCACAGAGAGATGAAGTCATTAGCCTGCGGTCACTCCGCCAGTCAGTGATGAAATTGGGGTGGGAGCTCTTCCTCCCTCACAGCCCCTTTTCTTAAACGCTGTATGTCCAGTGTTGGGAGAAAAAAGGCAGCAAGGCAGGGTGCAGGGAGGGCAGGCTTTTCCTCTTTAAATATTTGGATTCTTTCAAACACAACCCAGGAAATAGTCCATGGTCGCTACAGCCCGAGTCCAAGTTGGTGACCCTGGGATGGTGTTGCAGTGGCTGTTCATGATGGCGTGGTTCAGCTACATCAGGGCTGTGCTTGCCATGTGAGGGGCTAGCGCAAGTGCTCCGGGGCAGTGGTTCTCAAAACTGGGGTCCCTGGACCGGCAGCATCAACATCATCAACTGGGAACTAGGCGATGCAGGTTCTCAGACTCCATCCCCGATCTTCTGAGTCAGGAGTAGAACCAGGGATCCATGTTCTGTTTGATGCTGATGCACAAGTTTAAGAATCCGTGTTTTTGGGGATCCTTGAAAAGGAAAACTCCGATGACTTAGAATCCATATACCTCGCAGATGCAGAACACCTTGGCAGAGGCCAGATGGAGGAGCCAGCGGTTCTCAGCCCTGGATGCTCATTGGAATCACGTGGGGAGCTTTGCAACTACTGATGCCTGAGTCCTCCCCTCGACAGTCTGGTTTCATGGGGCTGGGGTTGTCCCGGGCGTTCGGTTTTTGACATGAGGATTTGCAGGGGAATGGGTGATTGAATGAATGGTCAACAAGGCGGCCTCTGTACTTTAGAGTACAAAATTGTACTCTGGGGAGAAAGCAGGTCTTGAAGGGGAAGGGCAGGGCAAGTGGAAGAGAAGCTAGACATTGAGCCCTTTGTGAATAGCAGTAAAGCCTGGAAAATTCTGGAGAATGTGGAGCAGGAGAAGGTCGTCTGAATTTGTAACAATTCTTAACAACGGACTTAATTTCAAAGAGATGCCAATAATAAAGTAGATGCGCTGTCTCTTCTATGAAGGAAATATCATTGTGAGTTTTGCTCTGTCTTAATGGAAGTGAGTCTATGAATTTTGACTGGAAACAATATGCTGACATTCTCCTGGCGGCTTCACTTAGGACTCAGTCTCTATGTTAAGAAGGTACTCTAGCCAAAACCGGTTTGGCTCAGTGGATAGAGTGTCGGCCTGCGGACTGAAAGGTCCCAGGTTCGATTCCGGTCAAGGGCATGTACCTGGGTTGCGGGCACATCCCCAGTAGGAGATGTGCAGGAGGCAGCTGTTCGATGTTTCTCTCTCATCGATGTTTCTAACTCTCTCTCTCTCCCTTCCTCTCTGTAAAAAATCAATAAAATATATTAAAAAAAATCTTTAAGAAGGTACTCTGCTCCTCTGACCTCTCAAACATCACCATTTCCTCTTTGCTCCATGAACCTTCCACCCCAGCTGACCTGCTCAGTTTAAAGGTCACTAAGCATTCCCACATCCAGGCATTTGTTCGTGTCCTCACCCCCCGCCCTCCTCTCACACACATACACACACCCCACCCTCTCTCCCCGCCTCGCCCCATGTAAAATCCTACTGCCCCTCTCTTCTGCCCCCGCATTCAGAGAGCTCCCCCATTTTCTAATTCAGCACCCAGTGTCTTGAAGGCGCCCAGTATGCCGGCCTGTGTGGGCAGCGGCAGTGGAACCAGCCAAATGACATTTTCTCCTTCCTTTCAGGACCGCCTCTTTTTCGTCATGGAGTATGTCAATGGTGGAGACCTCATGTTCCAGATTCAGCGCTCCCGAAAATTCGACGAGCCTCGTTCCCGGTTCTATGCTGCAGAGGTTACGTCAGCCCTCATGTTCCTCCACCAGCATGGAGTCATCTACAGGTAGCTCTTCTTTCCTCCTCTCTTTCCTAAAAGTGAAAAATTAAAGCGTTCTCCAGACACTGGAGCTGCCCAACTGGTCTCTTAGTGACCTGCTTGAGATCAGTTGTTTTAATTTGCTTACAGAGGACTTGGGGGGCGGGGGAGGAGGGCGGCTGTTTATCACTGTGAATGTTAATATTTGAATAGCCCCAGGAGACACCCTGCTTGTGCCAGTTTTGATTGAAAGCCCAAGAACGACATTTTAAAGGCCTGGCGCCCAACGACCTTGGGGTGACCTTCATTTCTTTCTCTCCCCACCCTCTTCCTTCAACATCAGGGCATTCTCTTTACTTTTTCCTTCTGTGCCATGAACTTCCTCCCCTTCCCAACCTCTTGTCGCTTCCTGAGTTTGTTTGGCTTAGTTGTCTCCAGCAGATAGAATCAGAGAAGGAGGAGCTGCTTGGGGGTCCAGGGTTTATGATCCCGGCCGAGCAGGGGAAGGGAACTAGACACTATCCAACAGGAAGTGACTCTTTGCAGATCCTCTAGTCCCTTATTACTGCCCTGTCCCCAGCCCAAGAAAACATCACACACACACACACACACACACACACACACACACACACACACACACACTTTCCAGTAAGGCAGCAGGACTGTTTACGCAGGCTCTTCTGTGAGGTCAGGAATTCTGGGAGGAGTAAATATTTATAATTAGCAACAAGGACACTAAAGTTCCTTAAAATTTTTTTCAGTGACTGTCAATTTCTTGGTTTTTGCTTTCTCCTCCTCTTTTTAATTTTATGTTAATGGGGTAGATTCGCTGGCTTGGTTCATCCCAGAACTTAGTCCCTCACAGAATCTTTACTGGTCAGTAAAACTCCCAGTCCTGGGAGCCGTGCCCTGACTAAAATGTTCGTAAAGGGCTCCTGACCAACTCCTACCGCAGGCTTCGCTTCCTGCTCCTATCTCTCAGCTTCCTCAAGGGTTGCTGATATCTCTCAGCTTCCTCAAGGGTGAGTCTCTGCTCAGAAATATTCAGTGGTTCCCAATGCGTTGCATAATAACGCCCATACTGTCTAGCCTGCTGTTGGTCATGGCCCTCCATGTTGTGAGGTCATTACTTGTTTCCTAGTGATGTGTGACAAACTTCCAGTCTAGAAATCAATGGAAAAATATCCTTGGGTGAGGACTTAAAAAAATAAAATAAAAAGAATCGCTTGATGAGTAGATCGGGCCTATCAGGATAATCTTCTCATTTAACTCAAAGTCAAGTGATTAGGAACCGTAATTATATCTGCAAAACCCCTGTGCCTCTGCCCTATTATATCGCATGACCAAGATGGCGATGTCCCATCACCTTTTCCACATTGTTTTGGTTAGAGGTAAGCCATGGTTTCCACCAAACTCAAGAGGGGGATTATGGAATTATGCCAGAGTGTGAGCCATCGGAGGTCACCTTAGCTTTTGTCTGCTACAGCTCAATACACCTTTCTTTCTCACTTCCCACAATACCCTGTTTTGAACACACCAAGGTTCTTAGCTTTCCTCAAACTTATCTGCCAATTCCCAACTTCCCTGTGCATATGGCCTTCCTCTCTACCCTCTCTATCCAGCCCGGACGCCTCCTACACTACTGCCTGCCTGCACAAGGCCTGGTCACCCAGCCAGAGTGAGCCTCTTCATCCCTCCACCCCCCCCCCACACACACACACACACACTTCTATTTGCAATTTGAGGCTTTTGTGGCTGCACCTACCACTGTTCCCCTTGTGCTGGGGTGAGGCATCCATGTGGATTTTTCACTAAGTTGTAAACTCCTAAGGGCCATTTCTTTTTTATTTTTACCCCTAAATCTTTTTATTTTACACAATTTTCTTGACTTCAATTAGTTTAAAACCCTAATTTCTGCGCCCAAAGCAGGTTACAAGCTAGTCGGAGATACCAGGAGTTAGATAGGTGAAAAGATCACCCATACTACAAGGCAGTGCACTGTTAGATGGCATGGCATGAAGAAGAATTGTCATTCTTTGAGATGTCATCCCCATGCCAGCCCTGTTAGAGTGGGCGGAATCATCCGTAGCTGACCAGCAGGGATTCAGAGGCTCATCTTAAATAATTTATCCAGGGCTACAGTTGGTAAGTGACAGGCTTAGGAAGTCTAACTGACTGACTGATCAACAAGCTAATGCTGTATCTCTTGGCTTTCCCTTACATTTCTACTTTTCTCCTCCTTTCCATGTTCCTAAAGGAATGTGTCCCTCTCACCACCCCTGTGAACACTTTTGCTCTATTGGCTTCTACGAACCATACTTTCTCCCTCTCCCATCTCCTTCCCACCTCTTTGACTGGCTCTCCTCGATCTCTATTATCACCTGTCCTGGCTCCTTCTTCCCTCCAACCCCCATTCGCAAAATTCTGGTTTTCCCAGGGCCTTCATCTCACTTTATTCTTACCCTAAATACTCTCCTCGAGCAATTTCAACATTTGCATGCCTTCAAAGCAGCCGTGGGCAAACTACGGCCCGCTGGCCGGTTCCGGCCCGTTTGAAATGAATAAAACTAAAAAAAAAAAGACCGTACCCTTTTATGTAATGATGTTTACTTTGAATTGATATTAGTTCACACAAACACTCCATCCATGCTTTTGTTCCGGCCCTCCGGTCCAGTTTAAGAACCCATTGTGGCCCTCGAGTCAAAAAGTTTGCCCACCCCTGCTTCAAAGGACTCCTATGTGCCCGTGACTCCCCGATATCCGAACCCCAGTTGTCTTAGAACCCTAAACAAGATCTTTCTCTCAAATGTCTCTCTCAAGACTTGACCTTCAAGGCCTTCTTCCTTCTTCCCTGGCTAGTTTGCAATCGTTTATAGACTTGACTCACTGCTTCTTGGTTTTCTGCCCGTCTATCTATCCCTCTCCCCTCTGTTGTTGCCCAGTAGTCTTTCAAAGCGCAGGCTGATTGTTCCCTTCCTTGCATCCTGCAACCCTTATAAGATAAAGCACTGTCCCCTTCACTGGCTTTGGACTCCCTCCCACCCGACCCTGGGGCTGCTGTGCACAGCTCTGTGGTTGGGACACAGGCAGGAAGAGCACAGGCATTGAGTGGGAGGTGGGGCTCTCTGCTTTGTGGCTGGCGTCTGCCCCAGAAAAGGCTGTATTTTCTACCCAGAGGAGATGCCTCTTTGTGTTTCTAACAAAGACACAATATGTGCTAACAAGGCTCTGGTGGTCCATAACAATCCTTTCACTACTCCCCCTAACCGTGCACCCCACCATCTAGGTACTCCAGATTATTTGCCATTCTCCCCCAAATACCATTCTCTTTCACTTTTATGAGCCTTTGTGTCCCTACTATCTTTAGATTTTCCCTTGCTCCTGACCTGTCTCTTGATCAGTGAGTAGTTCCCAATTAACTTTCGTGGTCTGGCTGCCTCAGAGTTCTGAGTTTAAAAAAATATGTAGATTCCACCCTGGAAGGTGTGGCTCAGTTGGTTGGAATGTCATGTCGTCCCATGCACGAGAAGGTGGCGGGTTCCATTCCCAGTCAAGTCACATGCCCAGGCTGAGGGTTCAATCCCTGGTCAAGGAGAATGCAGAAGGCAACCAACAGATATCTCTCCCTCTCTCTCCTTTCCTTTCTCCCTCCCTGTCTCTAAAATCAATTAAAAACATGCAGAGTCCATAATACTGAGGGAGGGGGAATAGAGAAAGAGTTGATGATTGCTAATATAGGGTGATGATACATGTGGGCTCACTATTCTACTTTTGTGCATGTTTTAAATTTACCATAATAATAATAACCTTTTAAAAAGAATAGTGATTCCAGGGTAACATTCCTAGAACTTTTGACTCAGTAGGTATGGTCTGGGGTTCAGGACTCTATTTTTTTAAAATAAATTTTTATTGATTTTAGAGAGAGAGGGAGAGAGAGAGAGAGAGAGAGAGAGAGAGAGAGAGAGAGACATTTTTGGTTGCCTTCTCCAGAGAGAGAGAGAGAAAGAGAGAGAGAGAGATTTTTGGTTGCCTTCTGCGTGGAGATTGAACCTGAAACCAGAGCATGTGCCCTGACTGAGAATTGAACCCATGACCTTCAGTGCACGGGATAGCATTCAACTAATTGAGGCAGACCAGCCAGGACATGACTTTTTTAAAGCATTCCTCAGGTGATGTAGGGACCGCAGGTCTAAAAAAAATGCCATTATGCCTTCAGGGTTATGTCAAATGCTCCTGCTCTGTGAAGCCTTTCCTGATGACCCAGCCTGTCATGGGAATCATACCGACCTGAGTGACATAACATCTCCCTGTACCAGGCATCTTGTAGGTGCCCTTTGCTGACCTTGTATTTTTACATGAAATGCCCTTCTGTGACTGAGAACTCCACACTTGAGTGCTCACCTAGCAGACCTAGGACAATACCCTGCTTGTAGTAGGTGTTCACTAAATACTTATTTTTCTCATCTCCAGCTCCAGAGCTTTCCACTCCAGTGGGTTGCTACATCATAGGTGTGTACTTCTTGAAAGTCTGTGTTGGAAGCATTCCTAACATACAACACACAGTTTTTTCCCTTGACACTAAAAGGTCTCCACTTCTTCATATCTTTCCTTTCATTAATTAATGAGGATCATGTGATCTCTATTTCCCATGATGCTTTGCTTTAAGCTGTCAGCAGACAGCTATTCAGGGTAGTTAGTCTGCAGCTGACTGGAGAGGCCGTGAGTGTGTGTCCTATTGGCTGTTCTGAAGCTCAGGTAGAGTCTACATTTTGTGTGCTACGGGGCTTTATTTGGAAGATTGGCAGAGCCAGTTATTGGTGGAGAACCTCAATGCTGAAGTTGAT